GTGTCTGACATACACCATTGGCTGTTTTTAAAAAGGGGAGGGGTTATGTCCAGTTGAGATTACGCCAAATATCAACTAAAGATGCACATTTCAGAGCACGGGACCTTTAAAGCAAGTAAAATAATCTGCTGATTAGCAAGCTTCATAATCTTTAGAGTTTTAAAAGCTGTCTTCCAGATATTGAAAGATATTAATGAATTTATTGAATTTATCAATGTATTTTTACCTCACGTTTTTTTTTCATCATTTCTCTGATGTGTTTTGTTTGTTTGTACACTGTAAAAAATTCTGTAATATTTATGGTAAAAAAATATTTAATTTAATTCATTTAACCATTAAAGCATCAGTAGGAACCAGTGCTGCATGATATTGAAAACATACATTGCGATATTATATATACATATATATATATTAGAGAGGGATGCTCAAAATAATCGATTAACCGAATGAAATGAAATTCAAACCAAAAACAGGTTTATTTTCCTAATTTCTGTCCCCATGAGCAGAATATTGAGCTTGATTAACAGAGAACTCACTTCCTTTAGACTCATCATTTCTGAAAATGGCACAATATTTGTGTTGCTTGTTTATAAATGCTTCTTGATTTAGGAATGTTTGGATATTTAGAGTAGAAGTGAGCAAAGTACTGCATGTTCAGCAGTGTGCTCTTACTCTCGTCCTCTTATATGTGCATTTCATGTGTCATAACTGAACTTTGACTTTGTTTTATGAATTGTGAAGCGCTGAACAGCAGCGTAACCCAAAGCATTCCTTTTATATTTTTATTATTATTATTATTATTGTTGTTGTTTTCTGATGCTGGACGTTTTTTGTTTTGTTTTTATCGGATGTTCCTGCATAGATGATGATTCTCATGTGTTTTATGGGGGATTCGCTGACACATTCCATGTTTGTGCTGTCTGTGGGTACTGGATTGATTTTGTCCTGCACTGTTTCTGATCTGTGTGTGTGTTTGTGTGTGTAAACTGGAAGACTTCTGGTGCCTTCATCGACTAATATCTCACACTTCTCTACTTCTCCATTTACTGGCCTTTTGTATATGAAAACAGCCGTATCTGTCTAATTTTATACATATATATAAATATATCAAGTCAACGGACCTGCCTGTTGTTTTCATTTGTTTGAGTGTTGAGGCCTGTCACGATAAGGACGTTTTGTTGTGCATTATATATTGATGAAGAAAATTGATGCGATAAGCATTATTATTGTCATTTTGACATCATTTTATGCCACTGATTATACACTACATGACAGAAGTCTTGTGCTGGATCTCAGTTGTGAGAGCAGCAGATCATAACTGGGCTTCTAGTTGATCATAAAGTGTCAGAAGGTGGATTTCTCTGCTGGGCCATCTGCTGATCTGCATCCTGATCATCACCAATACTGCAGAAGACCTACTGGAACCAGCATGGACCAAGATTCTCAGAGAAATCAGTCAAGCTTGGTGAAGGAGACATCATGGTTTGGGGTTCATTCAGTATGGGGGCGTGCGAGAGATCTGCAACATCAACAGCCTGAGGTATCAAGACATCTGTGCTGCCCATTACATTACAAACCACAGGAGAGGACAATTCTCCAGCAGGACAGCGCTCCTTTACTTCAGCCTCCAGGGTGTTTATAGTGGCTTAGGAGTCGTCTGATTGGTCAATCATGTATTGGATAATGCAGGACCGGCTGTGATCAATCATAAGCACCTGATCCTCTCGACATCAGTTTATGAATAAACTTCACCTAACATCATGTCTGGAAGTGTCGTGCTTCTGCTGAAGTGTATCTTGTCATCGTAGACTAGATTTATGTTTTACTAGATTTACACAACTTCAGCTGGTGTGAGCACTTCCCTATATATACCCTCCGGCGAGGACATGTTTAACATATAGAGCATATTTCAGGTGTACAGGTGATGCAGGTTTTTATTTTGATGTTTGTACTCTTGTATTGGAGTCTGGCATGCGGCACCATTTCAGCACGGCCTGTAAACAGCCACAGAATGAATTATCAATCAGTACTTCAGCATGTCGGTGGCTACAGTTAGTAAATGTTGAATAATAAACAATGAACGACAGCAAATAGGTGCTGTAGAATGTCTCATGTTATTAAGGGGCTGCACGGTGGCTCAGTGGTCAGCACTGTGGCCTCACAGTAAGAAGGTCTCTAGTTTGAGTCCTGGCTGGCTCAGTTGGTGTTTCTGTGTGGAGTTTGCATGTTCTCCCCGTGTTGGTGTGGGTTTCCTCCGGGTGCTCTGGTTTGCCCCACAGTCCAAACCCATGCGCTATAGGGGAACTGATCAACTACACTGACTGTAGTGTGTGTGAATGAGTGTGTATGGAAGTTTTCCAGTACTGGGTTGCAGCTGGAAGGGCATCCGCTGTGTAAAACATATGCTGGAATAGTTGGCGGTTCAATCCACTGCGGCGACCCCTGATAAATAAAGTGAATGAAAATGAATGAATTGGTGTAATGAACGCAGTATGGTAACTAGTTTCAGGTTTAACATGTGCATGTTGAACTCTGTTATGAACTGAACATCAAATACATTTGATTATGCTAAATCTGAATATTCTTTAACATTACTCCAGATGTTTAAGCAATAAATAATCAAGCACAGTGTTTTGAAGTGCTCACGATATTAATATTTGTGCGTGTTTATTATCATAATGTATTGGATATGGTTATGAAAGTCTAGTGTGTGTTTGTGTGCATGTTGTGTGTGTGTGTGGGTATAATAAGCTCTTCTTCTTCTGAACTGTAGGAGTGTTTTGTGTTTGTTTCTGTGTGAAATGACCCGTCGTATCAGATTTGCTTTAAATACAGTCTCCTGATTCTGTGGAGATTCACCTAGACATGACAAGCGTCTGCACGCCACGGCGGCTATAGTGTTCAGAGTGGGGGGGTGAAGACTCTTATCTGAGCTGGACGAGACGCGCTGGTTTAATGAGAGCACTCATTCTGGGCCGCATTCCTCAGAAGTGCTGCTGTAATCTGAGCTGCGTCACGGTCAAGGAAACACTTGTTCAGATGAAAAATGCCAGAGCTTTTTTTATTTACAGTCTTTCTCTGGAAATCTGCTGATCTGTTTGACCGGACACAAACAAAGACGTGTGTCTCGTGTACATTCAACAACACAGAAGCGTCTGCTAACATGCTGACTTCATGTCCTACTTCAAATCTGACTTATTATAGGGTCAGACACCATCTGCTGAGATTTTTTGCTATTACTGCGGAGAAGATTTCTGTGGAATGATTTTGGCAATATCACAACTAAAAACTTAATAGATTAAATAAAAAATAAAAAATGCTTTTATAACGTTTATTTATGTTTACAAAGCAAATCCAATTAGATGAGATCCATGTATTTGGTAAACAAAGCAAGTCTCTCATATAATATCTCTACTAAAAGACTGAACATATTACTGTACACACTGCATTGTCAATAAATCATATCAACATTCCATATTAGTCAATAATATTACTGAAATTAACTTAAAAACTGAATTAATATAAATTTACTCACGTTTACACAAGTAAATAAATGCACTCACTGATGGGCTGGAAATCTGCAGATTTCTGGGCCTGCTTATAAGTTAATCTTTCAGTATTGCCCCTGAGAATATTCCTGAGCTCATTAATATACACCAACCCGTGAGATCTCTTCGCTCTTAGAATCGACTGGGATTTGCTAGTTCTACGATCACGCTTGAAATGTGGAGGTGATGGAGCTCTTTCAGTAGCAGCTCCAAGACTTTGGAACGATCTTCCACTCTCCTTAAGAACAGCTCCAGCTTCTGAGTCGTTTCAGAGGTCACTGAAAACAGGTATTTTCTTTAGCTTTTAATCGTGTGTTGAGAGTTTATGTACTTTGGTTGCTTGTATATTTGCATGTGTTATGTGTTGTTATGCACAGCACACTGGTACTCATTGTGGTTGGTAGACAGTGCTCTAGAAATAAACTGAGTTGGGTTAATTAAAACATTATTATTTTGTTTCAAACATGCCTTCTGTGTACAGCTGTGGTCTAACACTGTTTCAATTCTCAAGTTTAATGCGTATAGAGGATGAAGTAGAATCAGGAGTTTGCTCTCTCAGAATGAAGTCTGGCAGGTTCATCAGCACTGGTTTATTCTAAATAAACAGAAAAATAAATCAAAACATTGCCATAATATTTTATTAATCCTTTAATTAAAGGCAAAGCTGACTGAAACGAAACCAGCTGATGGAGTATACACTAACCTGCGCATTATTCATAATCTAGACCAGGGGTGTTCAAACTCAGTAGTGCTGGTGTCCTGCGTAGTTGAGCTCCATCTCTCTTCAACACGCCTCCCTGGAAGTTTAGAAGACCTAAGAAGAGCTTGATTAGCTGGTTCAGGTGTGTTTAATTGGGGTTGGAACTAAAATCTGCAGGACACCGGCCCTCTACACTCTCAGAAATAACAACACAATATCGCGGCAGTTCGTAACTTTTTGATTTAGTGGCTATTTCTTATGAATTCATACGATCTAATTCGTACATTTTAGTATGATTTGCTTTTCCCCCAATGACGGTTGGGTTTAGGGGTGGGGTTAGGTGCCCCGCCTCCTTTTTAAACTCGTACAATTTCGCACAACTGAATTTGTATGAATTAGCCACTAAACTGGCAAAACGTTTTCTTGTGAGATCAGGCTGGAAATAAAGGGATACGTGAGCTCACTGGGGTGCTTCCTTTTCAAAAGCTACACATTTGTACTTAAAGGGTCCATATTGGTACCTCAGAAGTATATTGTAGTAAATGTTAAGAAGAACTCTTTTGTACTTTTTAGGTACTAATATGCACCCTCCAGGTGTTAAGATGGACCTTTTAGGTACAAATTTGTACCTTTTGAAAAAATACCACCCCAGTGACAGCTCACGTACCAAGTTTAGACACCCTGCTCTAGACAGTCTTTTTTACTGAATTTGTGGCCTAAAATAACTGATTTTGTTGCATTTTTTTCTCGAATTTTGCAGCAATATTTGAGACATTATTTTGTGTTGATTTACTGTAAAAAAAATCTATATATACCACAGAAAAAAGACTTAATTATATATATATATATATATATATATATATATATATATATATATATATATATATATATATATATATATATATATATATATATATATATATATATATACACATACATATATTTATTAATCCTAAACCCAGACATTGTGTTCTGTAACTTACAACAATAAGACTTAATTTCAATATTTTATATGCAACCAAATAACAATTAAACTCATTAAGATATTAACAATCAAACAAATAAAAAGTAATGAAGTAAATTTAAAGTGTCTACAAGTTTCTTTCACAGGAATCTTTCTTTTTCATATCTTGTAGAAATTGGTCAACATTAGAGAATGCCAACCATGCATGAAGTCATAAACATAAGCATGCAAACAATGACTTATATTGACAGCATGTCAACAGTACATCAGGGAAAAATGCAACCAAATGCATTAATCATATGCAGCACTATCGCTGAAGGACAGGCGTCTTTATGTAAAAGATCTTGTTTCCGTAAATCTGTATAAATTGTGCATTTCACAGACTCAATTCACAACAGTCTGAAGATCAAAATCCTCTGAATCACTGCACCACAATCCTTATAATCCTTATAATCTTTAAAAAGTGGGTTATATCTGATATCTGCATTTAGACGTATTGACCCAGAATATAAGTGCTCTGTCTGAGTGTTTTTTGCTTCTGTTCACAGAGTTTAATCAAGTTTTTCCTGGTTCGTTCATGTACACAGCATCCTAAAGCCCTGTTTGGTGGTGTTTTTTCTCTCTCAACACTGCTTAAAGCATAGATTTTAATAAGTTGTTTCTGACAGAAAAGTTCCCATTTGGCCGTCATCTTCAATCTTTTTTTGACCAGTAAGTTTCTGGATGTTGTTTCTATCTACTGTAGATGGTGTGCTTATTAGATCAAACCAGTTCATGTTATGTATACCACAGTTTTATATTGTTTACAGGATGTTGCTTTCTCTCTCTTTCATTTGGTTTCATGTCCTGCTTGAATGAATTAACCTGTGCAACATGACACAATACTTAATCTGTGTTCCTGTATTCGAGATCTAAAGGGTTAGTTCTCCTGAAAATTCTCCTCATGTCATTCCAATGCCCGAGAGCTTCCTTCATCACACAAATCAAGATGTTTTAGATGAAACCTGAGAGCTCCTCATCCTCTATAAAGTTGATGTCATGCATTGCTGATTTCCAGTCTGTATGACTTGCATTGACAGATGAAACCTGCTCTACCTGCTTACACTAGATGCAAACGCACATTAGATTTATACTGTTTACTTTCACATGTGAGAAGTGTCTGAGTAGCTGAATCATCTGCTCTTTCAATAAATAACAAAGACTATATTACATGCTGTCCCAGCAGCTTCTGATTTGGGGTTGTATATCTATAACCAAAACTACATCTCTATCAGTGGATGATAACTATAACCAAAACTATAACTAGTGCACACATGTGTGTCATGCAGTGTAAATACAGCTCAAAGTTGTCAGCTTTATTCGCCAGAGCAACAGGAATTGGAGATGTGTGAGTGAATGAACAGCGAGTTCTCATCTCAAGTGCCCTTCAGCAACACAACAATAGAAGAACAACAGTAGTGTGTAAACGTCCCCACTGGGTGAAAACATTTCTTCACTTATTAATGAGCACTGGACATCTTAAATGTGGATGCCTTTATAACTTTATTCTTGTCATAGTTGAACATTGTATCAATACATTATTACCCTTTACTGAATCACCTTTCAGGACATAAACAGTAAAAACAAAAAGACACGGGTCTTGAATTTAAGTGCTGATGTTCCTGGTCATGATGAATATTCCTGTTTCATCTCATTTTACAGACAAACAAGACTTTCTAAAGCATCTTCAGTCCATTATTCAGACAGTCATGATCAGAGTAGATGACAGATTTCACATTATGTGTGCAGTGCGTGTGTTATTATCATAATACAGCAGATCTTCAAGACTCCAGTAACACAATATAACATTTACATACAAGAGTAAAAACATCTTCACAGTATAAAATCATTCACATTTGCATTGGGGATTTCCCACAGTGAGGTTACAGTGAATAAATAAAGCCCTCGATTGATTGATTGATTGTACAGATAAATCACGACATTATTAACAGTAGTAGTGATGTGACGGTAACCAGTGTTCGGGCTAATGCATTACAAGTAACGCAGAGCAGAGTAACGCAAAAGTAACGCAACGCATCACTTATAAGAGTAACTAAATAATGCAACTAGCTGCTTGTTTGGAGAGTAACTCAATAATGTAACGCATTACTTTCAGAAGTACCTTTCCCCAGCACTGCTTGTCATGATGTGCATTCAGAGCGGTGTGTGGTGATGCTGCAGAAACAGTACAGCGCTTCAGTGTGTGCAGTATTGTCGTGTTTGCAGTGTTGTTGTGTGTTCAGAGTCGCTGCAGGACGCTCACGCAGCCGTGATAACTGACACAGCGGGTCATCGGTGTCTCCTCCGTCACTTTACCACTGAGCGGATCAAAACTCCACGACTGATTCACAGCAGTAGCCTCATCAGTACGACCACCGACCACATAAACCTTCCCCGCACACACCGTCAGACCACAGCCCTCCTGAAACACACACACAGAGGATCAGTGCACTGTAACTGACCAAAACAATAACTATAACGAACGATATCTATAACCAAAACTGTAACTGTATCAGTGGACGATAACTATAACGAAAACTATAACAGGTGACGATAACTATAAACAAAACAATAACTATATCAGGTGATGATAACTATAAACAAAACTATAATTATATTAGTCGACAATAACTATAACGATAACTATAACTACATCAGTGGACGATAACTATAAACAAAACAATAACTATATCAGTGGACGATAACTAAACAAAACTATATATCAGTGGACGATAACTATAAACAAAACTATAACTATATTAGTCGACAATAACTATAACGAAAACTATAACTATATCAGTGGACGATAACTATAAACAAAACAATAACTATATCAATCAACGATAACTGTAACTATATCAGTGGACGATAACTATATCAAAAACTATAACTATATCAGGTGACGATAACTTTAAACAAAACAATTACTATATCAGTCAACGATAACTATAACAAAAACTATAACTATATCAGTGGACGATAACTATAAACAAAAACTATAACTATATCAGTGGACGATAACTATAACGAAAACTATAACTATATCAGTGGACGATAACTATAAACAAAACAATAACTATATCAGTGGGCGATAACTACATCAGGTGACGATAACTATAAACAAAACAATAACTACAGCAGTCAACGAAAACTATAACTATATCAGTGGACGATAACTATAACGAAAACTATAACTATATCAGTGGACGATAACTATAAACAAAAACTATAACTATATCAGTGGACGATAACTATAACGAAAACTATAACTATATCAGTGGACGATAACTATAAACAAAACAATAACTATATCAGTGGACGATAACTATAACGAAAACTATAACTATATCAGTGGACGATAACTATAAACAAAAACTATAACTATATCAGTGGACGATAACTATAACGAAAACTATAACTATATCAGTGGACGATAACTATAAACAAAACAATAACTATATCAGTGGGCGATAACTACATCAGGTGACGATAACTATAAACAAAACAATAACTACAGCAGTCAACGAAAACTATAACTATATCAGTGGACGATAACTATAACGAAAACTATAACTATATCAGTGGACGATAACTATAAACAAAAACTATAACTATATCAGTGGACGATAACTATAACGAAAACTATAACTATATCAGTGGACGATAACTATAAACAAAACAATAACTATATCAGTGGACGATAACTATAACGAAAACTATAACTATATCAGTGGACGATAACTATAAACAAAACAATAACTATATCAGTGGGCGATAACTACATCAGGTGACGATAACTATAAACAAAACAATAACTACAGCAGTCAACGAAAACTATAACTATATCAGTGGACAATAACTATAACGAAAACTATAACTATATCAGTGGACGATAACTATAACGAAAACTATAACTATATCAGTGGACGATAACTATAAACAAAAACTATAACTATATCAGTGGACGATAACTATAACGAAAACTATAACTATATCAGTGGACGATAACTATAAACAAAAACTATAACTATATCAGTGGACGATAACTATAACGAAAACTATAACTATATCAGTGGACGATAACTATAAACAAAAACTATAACTATATCAGTGGACGATAACTATAACGAAAACTATAACTATATCAGTGGACGATAACTATAAACAAAACAATAACTATATCAGTGGGCGATAACTACATCAGGTGACGATAACTATAAACAAAACAATAACTACAGCAGTCAACGAAAACTATAACTATATCAGTGGACGATAACTATAACGAAAACTATAACTATATCAGTGGACGATAACTATAAACAAAAACTATAACTATATCAGTGGACGATAACTATAACGAAAACTATAACTATATCAGTGGACGATAACTATAAACAAAACAATAACTATATCAGTGGACGATAACTATAACGAAAACTATAACTATATCAGTGGACGATAACTATAAACAAAACAATAACTACATCAGGTGACGATAACTATAAACAAAACAATAACTACAGCAGTCAACGAAAACTATAACTATATCAGTGGACAATAACTATAACGAAAACTATAACTATATCAGTGGACGATAACTATAACGAAAACTATAACTATATCAGTGGGCGATAATTTTAAAGATTTAATAATGGTAAAGAGTAAGAGTGGTTAGCTGATTGTGTATATATAGAATTTTTGTGTATATAGTGTGTTTGTGTATATAGTGTGTGTGTGTATAGTGTGTTTGTGTATATAGTGTGTGTGTGCGCACCACTCTGACGGGCAGTTTGGCAGCAGGACTCCAGCAGTCTTTACTGGGTGTGTAACAGTAGATGTGCTCCATCAATCCTCCAGCCACGTAGATAGAGCCGTTGAGCGAGACTGCACTGATGGAGCGATGAGAGAACGGGCATGGAGACACGGATGACCAGCTGTCAGTCAGAGGGTCATAACACTGCACCTGTGACACACACACACACACACACACACACACACACACACACACACACACACACACACAGGATTCAGCTCATCGGCAAGCATATAACACACAGTATAGCACTGGAGATCCCTGAAGAAGAGCTTTTACTTGAATGAGTTTACCAACTATGACCACATCAACACTGAGAAACAGAGATGTGCTCCTTCTAAACTGTGCATGTGAATAGGTGAAGGGAAACGACTAAAGTTGTGAACGAACCCTTACCAAAGACTATAGAATACACTGAAACAGACTCTCCCCTTACTGCCTGCAGCAGAGACAGAGACGGACGCTTCACTGCAGCATCTGGCTTCTCTCAGAGGAGAGTGTGTGGTTTGGGTGGGATTATTAGTTAACTAGTGAATTAGTTGTTAGTCTGACCTGGTTAGTGTTGGCGTGGTCGCTGATGGCTCCTCCGATGACGTAGAGTTTCCCACAGCAGCTGGCCAGAGCGGCTGAACTGACCGGCAGCGGGAGCTCCGACACGCTGATCCAGCTGTTCTCATGAGGACTGTAGCGCTCCACGGTGGACACACGCTCACGACCGTTATACCCGCCCACCACATACAGCTGCACACACACACACACACACACACACACACACACACACACACACACACACACACACACACACACACACACACACACACACACACACACACACACACACACACACACAAAATGGTGAATTTAGGAAATCAAAAATATAACTAACATTAGAGAACTGAAATAAAAAATAAACAAAACTCACAAACTAACAACAGCAGAATTTGCGGACGTTCTTTGGTAATTCTGTGCAGAATTTTGTAAATAATCTGCAGATTTATGCGGAATGATTTTGGGAGTATCGTAACTATAAACTTAATATTCATTCATTCATTTTCTTTTTAGCTTAGTCCCTTTAGAACCAGTGACGTTCTTGCTGTAAGGCGACAGTGCTAACCACTGGGCCACCCATCTAGGAAAGGAGGAGGAGTAGGGGTGGAAGGGGGGATTCTTCAAGATGAAGATGGCTGTGATATGGAGCTGAGGGTGTTTATAGTGGATTAGGAATCATCTGATTGGTCAATCATTAATTGGATAATGCAGCACCAGCTGTGATCAATCATAAGCACCTGATCCTCTCCACATCAGTTTATAAACTTCACTTATTGACGTAGAAGGAAGGGTGTGTGTGGAGCTGCCGATGCGATAAACAACAGCAACAGAGGGAACATGAAGACCCATCAAACCTGAGATCTCTCTCGTACCCACAAATTCCTGTGAATGGTGGAGGAAACCGTGTATAAACCACAGGCGCATGCTGCCATGACGTCCCTCCACTTCCACCTCATTATGTATTTTAAAGTTGGGCAAACTTCAAGCTAAAAGCAAGACGATTTGGTCCATTGTGGCTAGTGTGGCGCAGATGCTAGAACCCCCGTTTACAAATGGCTGACTTCACTAATTGTATGGCAAGTGTAAACACATGAATCAGATATGAGTCACAATTAAAAGAAGGCGGGCAAATCCTCCGATATAGGCGAATCAGAATTGGGCATAAAGACCTGACAGTGTAAACACGGCCTGAGTAACACAACGAGTCGCTTTTCTGGGGAGTAACTCGATATCGTGATGCATTACTTTCAGAATAAACTCTCCTCGATGCTGATTATAACCTTGACACACACACACACACACACACACACACACACACGCACACACAGCATCAGATCAGATCCTCACCTTCCCACACAGCGACACCATCTTGTGCCTCCAGCGGCCGCGGCTGAGCGCACACACACGCACCCACTGACCTAGAGATGACATGAAGCGCCAGACATCTGCACTGTTCAGCTGACCACCTGCACACACACACACACACACACACACACACTTCAGTGCTTCATTTACACACCTCATACACACATGGACACAATATATGCATCATTTACACTCCGGGTGCTCCGGCTTCCCCCACAGTCCAAACACACGTGCCACAGGGGAACTGATCAACTAAATTAGCTGTAGTTTATGGGTGTGTGGGTGTTTCCCAGTAGTGGGTTGCAACTGGCAGGACATCTGCTGTGTAAAACATATGCTGGAATAGTTGGTGGTTCATTCCTCTGTGGTGACTCCTGATTGAATAAATGGCACAAACCAAAAGTCTTTGTTTTATTGCTGTGCTAGCGTGTGTTATTCCCAGATAACCCCTGCTGAATAACACACACACTCTCCTCCAGGAACTGAGAGTCAGCGTCAGCGAGTGTGATCATATCTATAATCATCTGCTGTTATCACTGTCTGCAGATCTGTGGCCTGCTCAATACAGTATCCTTCAGTCAACACTGATACTCTCTTCATCATCATCATCATCACACTGAAACCTGTGAGACCAGATCAGCACACTCCAGCAGATCATATCAGGCACACAAACACACTCACAGCTCCTCTAGAACACACTCCTGAATATCTGCGTTTGTGTTCTGGAGAATAGAGCAGAACGCCACCGAGCAGGAAATAAAGAGAGAATGAAGACAGCAGGAGGAGCACAGCCTCTGATCTTCATCATCATCATCATCTGATAGGCCTCACTGGAATAATAACATGAGCAAACATTCCAGCCGATGCCCGAGCTGATAGAGTAAGAGGGAAGGTCAGCAGGAAACACACACACACACACTATCAAACATGCACACGCTCACACACAAAAACAAACACACACACACACACTCTCGGTCTCCTACCTGACAGATAGATGTCGTTCTGCAGTTCGCAGGCAGCAAACTCAGATTTGCAGTATCCGGGCACGGCGGCGGCCCCCTGCCACTGTCCTGAACACACGTTCAGCTTCTCCATGAAGGAGAGTCTGGAGAACCCGCTCTTATCACAGCCGCCGAACACGAAGATCATCTCTGCCCAGCCGGAGCGCCTGACACACACACACACATACACATACACACACACACACACACACACACGTAGAATTAATTTATATATATATATAAATACTCACTTTTGAGTAATCATTGTGAGAGAAGTTAATATAAATGTGTGTGTTTGTTTGTTGTAAACACACTGTGTGTTCTGCATCATTCACTCTGTGGGACAGTCATCCTCCACTGTTCCAACATTTGCATCGACACGTTTTCGATTTACTCTCAAAAATTCTTAATTCTGTGTTTGTTGTGAAGCCGGCATTAGTGTCATTATCGCCCTCTGTTGGCTCAGCGTGCACTTAACATGCATCACAGTGCATTTGAGACGGGTCTGGATGCAGACCTGGTGCAGATGCAAGCTGAGCTGCATCCATTGGTTTTTAAAGAGCTCACCTAAACCCCTCCCCTAACCCCACCCCTCACAGTGACGTCACTCACTCCACTGAGTGCACTGTGTCTGACATTGCATCGCTGAGTGATGCAGTCTCAGCTTGCATCATAAAGGCTGCATCCAGATACTGTTGTTGCATCTTCATCTGGACAGAGATGTTTTTAAAACCAAATTGGGCAAGCTCAGTTTATTGAGGTTGTTCTTGACGTACGAGCGGACTCGCGGACCCGCGGCTCTAGACTTCTGCTCTCATTCACTTCTATTGATTTCTAGATGTTAAAAACAGCTGGTTCTGCTGCTTGATGCTGCAAGCTGATATCTTATTATATTTTTCTACTGGTCATGTATAGTTACAGTACACATTAATCTAAAACTATATCATTTAAAGAGCAGAGAATGAATCTTGCATTTAGTTTTTTGATTACATTAAATAACAGAGCTGTGTCACTATAGATGTGTGTAAACATGCACACATCTATAGTGAAAGAATTTGATTGCTTTCCTAACTTTTTAATGCTCATTTTAGACAAAATTTGTTGTGTTTTAAAGAAAATCACCAAGACTGACATGTTCAGATATTATTATTATTGTTAATGTTATTATTATTCAGTCATTCATTCATTTATTTTCTTTCTTTATCAGCTTAGTCCCTTTATTAATCCGGGGTCGCCACAGCGGAATGAACCGCCAACTTATCCAGCAAATTTTTTTTTTTTGGAGAGGATGCCCCTCCAGCCGCAACCCATCTCTGGGAAACATTCAGACACACTCACTCAGTAGACAATTTAGCCTACCCAATTCACCTGTGGACTGTGGGGGAAACCGGAGCACCCGGAGGAAACCCACGTGAACACAGCGAGAACATGCAAACTCCACACAGAAACGCCAACTGAGCCGAGGCTCAAACCAGCGACCCTCTTGCTGTGAGGCGAACGCGCTACCCACTGCGCCACTGCTTTGTCCATTATTATTATTATTATTGATATTATTATTATTATTATTATTGTTAGATTATTATTTTTGTTATATTATTATTATTATTGTTGTTGTTGTTGTTGTCATATTGTTATTATTATTATTGTTGTTGTTGTCATCATTATTGTTATTGTTATTATTATTATTATTTTTTTTATTATTATTATTATTATTGTTGTTGTTGTCATCATTATTGTTATTATTATTATTTATATCATTATTATTATTATTGATATTATTATTATTATAATTATTGTTAAAATTATTATTATTGTTATTATTAATATTATTTTTGTTGTTAATATTATTTTTTTTTTTTGTTAATATTATTATTATCATTATGATTATTATTATTAATTATGTGTGTATGTCTGTTTAAACATACCCAAATCCCAGATTTTCACTTCACTTCAAATCGCGTGTACAGAATCAGTTTAGGAAACAACGTCTGTTTATCACTATGGAGCGCGTCTGACAATCACGCACCAAGACTTGCATAGCAGGGGTGAAGGCACGTGTAATGGAAAGGAAGGGAATCCCGTCGTTTATCCCATATTTATTTATTTATTTAATTATTATTATTATTTATTACCCTGGTGGTTCAGCATGGTTCGGGTATAGGAAGGATCGGCCCTTTAATGTTTATTGCCGCCCTTCTTAGAAAGATTGAAAACACAGGAGAAATACCTTTGCGGGATGGTAGCATGATAGAACGTTAAAATACAGGGATAAACGGGAGAGTTGACAGGTGTGGTGTGAATATGGCCCTTATCTAAAGGAGTAAAGGCTTTGGACTCACGGTCGGGGTGTGGTGCGCTTGGACTGCACCTCTCGGCCGTAAGCGTGGTACAGGCGCGCCTCCTGCAGCAGGTCTCTGAGCTCGGGCTGGTCCCGCACCATCTCGTCCGCCTCCAGAGTCCCGCAGAAGAAGGCCTGGTCCAGCAGAGGCAGGCGCAGGGGCTCCAGCAGCTCCCGCAGGTGTGCGCTCCTCTTGGCCGGCTGTTGGTGCACCCAGCGCAGCGCCGCCTCCACCAGCACCTCCTCCCGCACCTGCAGCCGCTCGCAGCACAGCACATCCAGCACCTGCTGCTTCTCCAGCTGAAGGAACTCCGGGTGCCGCAGGATCTGCTGGAGGTCCCGGTAAAGCAGCGTCTCACACTGCTCCTGCAGTGGCTGCAGACCGTATGCGTGAGCGAACGACATCAGGCCCAGACAGTTGCAGTGGCTGACGCGCTCCTGCAGGAACTGCACACATGCTTTATACAGCACCGGCACATCCAGACGATCCGCCGCCTGCAGACACACACACACACACACACACACACACACACACACACACACACACACACACACACACACACACACACACACACACACACACACATATTCAGTAATGCAGTACTATTAAAGTTTGTTCTTATTAACACTGTTAATAATACAGTATTATTAAATAAACTATTAATCCAAATGATTGAATGATGAAGTTGCACCTGGAAGACGCTCTGCACATTCTCCTCGTCCAGCGTCAGTCTGCCCTCATACATGAAGTCCAGCAGTTTCTCCATGGCGGCTCTGGAGACGTCCTGCAGGGTGACCGCGGCCTGCCGGCTCTCTGTGAAGTGGCTGCCGAACATGGTCCGGAAGAATCCGCTGCTGGCGCAGAGCGTGGCGCGGTGACAGGGGAACTCACAGCCGTCCACCAGCAGAACCACATCAGTGAAGGTGCCGCTGCGTCTGTAGGAGTTCAGCACCTGCAGGATGTGCTCAGCGTGACACGAGCCCGAGCAGAAGCTGACATTTGACCGGTCCATCAGTTCACCACTGCTGCCGAAACCCATCCTGGAGCACAGAGAAACACTGCGGACACACACACACACACACACACACACACACACACACACACACACACACACACACACACACACACACACACACACACACACAATCATCATCAACTCTGACCATCACAGCTTGAAGGTCTCTGGTTTGAGTCTCGGCTGGGTCAGTTGGTGTTTCTGTGTGGAGTTTGCATGTTCTCCTCGTGTTGGTGTGGGTTTCCTCCGGGTGCTCCGGTTTCCCCCACAGTCCAAACACATGCGCTATAGGGGAACTGATCAACTACACTGGCCGTAGTGTATGAGTGTGAATGAGTGTGTATGGGTGTTTTCCAGTACTGGGTTGCAGCTGGAAGGGCATCCGCTGTGTAAAACATATGCAGGAATAGTTGGCGGTTCATTCTGCTGTGGTGACCCCTGATAAATAAGGGACTAAGCTGAAGGGAAATGAATGAATGACAATGGAAAGATTTCTGCATGCACTGTGTTTCCTTTGACCTATACTGATGCACTTTTGGGAACATCACACATGCAAATGCTTAATGGGAACGCCAAGATGTGCATAAAGCCTGGTGATGCACATAAAAACCTCTGACTTGTAATGGAGTCGGATAAACTTTTTCACTGGCATAGAACTAATTGACATTCTCATATTCAATGTAAAGTGTAAAATGTAATTATATATGCACGTTTTAAATGACTCCAGTATGTTTTCCTTAAAAAATCAATCAATCACAGTGAGCAATGCTGGCAGAGCAGCAGTGGTATCCTTTATTTTCACACATCTATAACCTGCTTATATTTTACGCCAATGCTATTACTCTACAGCCCCAATTCCTAAACAGGTTGAGACATTTTGTAGAAAGCAGTAAGATCGCGAATGCTCAGATGATTTCTTTATTACTGCACTTTTTCCAATCCTGTTTGAGTCTCTCTCATGTTGAACACAAAAGAAGATTTTCCGAAGAAAGCTGGAAACCGGTAACCATTGACTTCCATAGTATTTGTTTTTCCTACTGCAGAAGTGGATGCTCACGGTTTCCAGCTGTTTTCAGAATATCTTCTATTGTGTTCAACAGAATAACAGAAACACACACAGGTTTATTAAAGATGGTCAGTTTTTGGTGAACTGCCCCTTTAATTAACGAAAGTACAAAGACGATACTTTAAAGAGTTATGCAAGGTTAACTGTATTTTGTAAATGTAAACAAGTTCAGATCTTGGCGGCTACAACACAATCTAAAGGATGACACAGAGGCGTGTTTTACTCCAGTTAAACTATTTAAATAACAATGTTCAGTCATCTGGAAACGGAGGATATTAATCATTCATTCATTTTCTTTTCAGCATAGTGCCTTTAATGAGGGACAGCAGCGATGAATTTAGGAATGAACCGCCAACTTATCCAGCACATGTTCTTTGCAGTTTCCAGCAACAACCCATCACTGGGAAACACCTGTACACTCTCATTCACACTCATACACTACAGTCAGTTTAGCCAACCCAATTCTCCTGAACCTCATGTGTTTGGACTGTGGGACATTTATTTGTACTTTTGCCAATTAAATACAAGTTAAAGAGAATTTTTTAAAAAATTATTTCATTTTATTTCACTTTATTTCATTGCATTGTGAAGCAATTGTTTGAAGTTGGGGTTGTACTACTCCTAATACTACTGCTGTGTTTACTGCTGAACTACACAATACAAAACTGAAGAGGCTGCTTTAAATATTTGACAAAAGCAGGAAGAGGAAAATAAGATTATTATTAGTTCTGCAATCACATTAATAGATCAAACTGACTGCACATGTTCACACAGAACAATTTCACCTCATTTCCTTCACTCAGATATTCAGTTTATTCACAACAGTCCTGAATAAAACTGATGAACACATCTCTGCATCTATATGAGATCATTATTATTATTATTATAATTGAATATCTCCACTCACCTGTTTGTAGAATGATGAACGTCCTCAGATCAGCACAGCACGGTCTGACCGCCTTCACGCATGTAAGTGCTCTTTATAGGGTAGGAGGCGGGGCTTCAGTGTAATGTGGGCGGGGCTCCAGCGCGTCATCTCCTCTGTTCGCATGAACTCCGCTTCCCTGTCTCCCGAGTTCTCTTATATTTGATTGTGTCAATCCTGTGAATTCCTTTAGTCTAAAATACATATTTTTTTATTATAATAACCCCCTGGAACACATCATGAATTGCGTTATCTTATATGGCAAAATTTTCATTCACACAAACTGAAATTTGCAAAAAATTGCCCATGCGTTGCTCATTTTGGAATATAAATCTCTCCTAAAATCACTTCATCTTATTAAAAATAAAAAAACCTAAGATTCCTGAGATATTATGCAGATGTATTTAAGGAAGATCCTCGATTTTAGTTGCTTTCATTATGGTTGTTTGTTTAACTGTAGTTGGAATTTGATTAATCTGTTTAATTTTGTTTGTTTAATTTAGTATTTTTAGTATTATTATTTTATTATTGATAATTACTATAATGGCTGCACGGAGGCGCAGTGGGTAGCACAAGCCTGGTTTGAGCCTCGGCTGGGTCAGTTGGTGTTTCTGTGTGGAGTTTGCATGTTCTCCCCGTGTTGGTGTGGGTTTCCTCCAGGTGCTCCGGTTTCCCCCACAGTCCAAACACATGCGCTATAGGGGAACTGATCAACTACACTGGCCGTAGTGTGGAATGTAGAGTGTGCGTGTGTGGCTGTTTCCCAGTGATGGGTTACACCTGGAAGGGCATCCGCTGTGTAAAAGATATGCTGGAATAGTTAGCGGTTCATTCCGCTGTGGTGACCCCTGATTAATAAAGGGACTAAGCTGAAAATAAAATGAATAAATGCAGTAATTCTTATTATTTAAAAAATTCCTTTCGGTCTATTGATGTTATTTGTATGAGATTTAATATATATTTTTCTTATGACTTTCTTTTTCATTGACCTTTTTAAAGATCTGTCTGCGATCCCTTGGACTTTGTGCTGATGTTCTTGTATTGCCAGTTCCAGCAATGATAATAATAGAAGCTTTCCTTCCCTGTGTACTGCGCACAGTTTCAGTAATATGCACAAATTAAACAGAGATCTTGCTCAAATAAGCAGAACAGCACCAGTGACAGTGGTAAATGAAGACAGAAGTTATTAACGTTGTTTTACAAAATATACTCTAGAAGAGAAGCGATAATATAAAATACACGCAGAAATGTAAATCCTGTCGTCATTTCCTCATGCCCATTCTGCAAACCTGTTTCCTTCATCTGTTGCACAGAAAACAAGATATACTGGAAAATGCTGGATAAAACAGCCACTGACTTCCACAGAATGTTTCTGGTTTGTTTTTTCCAACACACATCAGTTTATCTTGCTTTGTGTTCAACAGAAAAAACAAACTCATGCCAGTGATAAAGCCACAGCTTTGATCATATATTACTTTATACTTTATAACATTTATTTGCTGTTTTGTTTTGTTTTGTACGTCATTTTACATCATTTATTTGATTGTTATGAACGCTGGAATAGTTGGTGGTTCATTCCACTGTGGTGACCCCTGATAACTAAAGGGGCTTCGCTAAAGAAAATGAATGAATGAGATAGCAGATATTAAAATTAAATAACAAACATATTTGTAATAATCTTAAAAAACAAAATGAAAGTATTCTGTAATAGAGAATATTGACTGGAGATGAACTTTGTTATTTCCCTTTAAATACTGTGTGAATGATAAAATAATAAAAACTTCACTTCAAAATCCTGCATACAATTTCCCCAGCCAGAGCTTTATTATCAGGACACATTGATATGGGTGATATCTGTTGCTTCTGTAAGTGCACAGAGACAGACTTCTTAATGTAAAGTTGTAAACAATTTCTGGGTGGATTTAACAAAATATGTCCTTAAAGTGACAAAACTATTGTTTGTTTTACAATGAAAGATATTATATATATATATTACACAACCAAATCCAATAAAGATCTGGAATTTATCAGGAAAATTTCACCTGCATAAATCAGAATTTGCCAGATCATCTCACATCAGATCCATTTTATTGTATTGATTTTGATTTCCTTATTCGTTCTGTGAAACTTGAAAAGCAAAACACTGAGAAATGTATTAACTATTATAACTATTTTTGTTATTCCCCTGACAGTCTTTAACATCACTGAATGTATAAACACTGTACGCTATGATCTGTTGATTTCATTAATGTATCTTTGCTGTTGTTTGTATACATCTATCTTCATATTAAAGGCCAATCAGAGACAAAACCAAGTCATTTATAGTCATTTAAAATCTACAGGTGTTCCTGCTCTGCAATATTTGCTCAGCTTGACTTTATTTACTAATTCCATATATGACTGTCTGCTATTATTTTCTGTATCATTTAGCAGCCACTTATTCCACTAAAATCCAGCTGAGATCTGATGATGTCCACTAGATGGAGACAGTGTGCCTTGAATTCCTTATATTGAAGGGATCAAGTGCGCGTGTGCGCGTGCCTGTGCGGGTGTGTGTTAAATTAAACGCAAGTTAATGTGAAGTTTTGAAAGCTGAAGGAGCTGTTCTCTACAGGTTATTTGGATCATGAATTATCAAATGCTTTTTAAATGTAACTGATGTTTTAGTGGTTTTTAGTTAAAATAGTTATTATTATTATTTATTAATATTATTGTTATTGTTTGGTGTAATAGAAACATTTTTCATTCAGATCCGACAATAGCTTTTCACCTAACTGCAGCAGATGCCCGCTAGATGGAGACAGGGGAGCGTGAGAAGACCATCAACAACAGTGTCTTTAGATGGAAAACTACATTACCACATACACATGCTGCAGTCATCTATAGCAATACTCTATTGTTTTCTAATCACAGCCTACTACAGGACACATAGCGCATATATATATATATATATATATATATATATATATATATATATATATATATATATATATATATATATATATATATATATATATATATATATATATATATATTCATTTAAAACTTTTTTAAAATATACCATAAATAAAACCACCATAAACAAATTTTGTTTTTTATTTCATTAATATTATTGTTTTATTGATGTGAAGCACTTTGCACAACTTTTTTTTAAATTAAATTTTTTTTTAATATTTCCCAAATAATGTTGAACAGATTGAGGAATTTTTCACAGTATGTCTGATAATATTTATTCTTCTGGAGAAAGTCTTATTTGTTTTATTTCGGCTAGAATAAAGGCAGTTTTCATTTTTTAAACACCATTTAAGGTCAATATTATTCGCCCCTTTAAGCTCTATTGTTTTGGATAGTCTCCAGAACAAACCATCGTTATACAATAACTTGCCTAATTACCCTAACCTGCCTAGTTACCCTAATTACCCTAGTGAAGCCTTTAAATGTCACTTTAGGCTGTATAGAAGTGTCTTGAAGAATATCTTGTCTAATTTATTATTTAATATTTACTGTCATCATGGCAAAGAGAAATACATCAGTGATTAGAGATGAGTTATTAACACTGTTATGATTAGAGATGTGTTGGAGAAATCTGCTCTCTGATAAACAGAAATTAGGGAAAAATAAACAGGGGCGAATAATTCTGACTTCAGCTGTTTATAAATAAATTGCACGCGTCACTTCTGCTCCCGTAGTTTCTGATCTAAGCAGAGGACCAGTCTCGAGTACGGGTGAATGACACCGTTGACAAGCCTCACTTCACTTCTCACTGTGTGTGTGCGCTGGATGGACGTGTTTGACGCTCACACTGGATGAAGCTCAGCTCAGCTTTAAAACAAGTTCAGCTTTTCAACATCGATTTATTCTGTGTCATTGAGCCACAGAAACCAGTCCTGTGTGGATATAGCTCTGGAATATAAGGCGGAGTTTACCTCCAGCCGGGAATCCCTGCAGCCGCGGCCGGACCAGAGCGCCTCATTCTCGGGCAGCGGAGAGCGCAGAGCAGCGGGAAACTCTGATTTACACAGCAGCACACACACAGGGGAGATTTCTGAAGCGATAAGAGTTCATGTTTTAGGATACCGAGAGACTGGGTTAGAGAGTAAGAGAGTCAGAGGGAGGGAGAGAGAGAGGGAGGAGGTCAGATATCTGCCCAATCCCCAAACACCGCTCAAAAGGAAAAAACAAGATCATTTGCAGGATATTCTCACAGGATGTGTAGAGGAGCAGAAGAAGAGGAGCAGATGCTGGAGTGGAGGAGATCAGGAGCAGCGCAGCACTGAGGTACACACACACACACACACACACACACACACACACACACACACACACACACACACACACACACACACACACACACACACACACACACACACACACACACACACACACACAGTATATATTGTATTTCCTATTGTCTAACTCTAACTGTACACCTAACAGGAAAGTTAATGGTAACACTTTATAATAACTACACACTATGAATTTATTAAGCATTTACAAATAGTGAATTCATTATCTGTTGAGCAGTAACTCTACATTAATAAAGGTTAGTAAGCATGTCATTATGTTATTAATAATTAATTTTGACTGAAGTAAGTATTACACTATTTACAAACCAATCATTTAAGAATAGATGGTGGTTTTTAAAGATAATTCAGAATGTGTCAGTAAAGGATTAATAAACTATTCAAATTACATTTATATATTATTATTATTATTATTATTAGTTATTTAGTATGTTTATAAATGTTTTATTAACTCAACTTTATCCAGTTTTGTGACTTAATCTATAGAGAACTATTTATGCTTTATAAATGACTTATAAATGATAATTAAAGGCTCAGTTATATTCTAAACAGGAAAAACAGAAAATAAATGACTTTTATTTAATTTATTATTTTTAAATTTTAATTTTAAGATACACCAGTAAAACTGCATCAAATGAAAAAGGAATCTTTGCAACCTTATCTAAAATAAAACCTCTGTACACTGTAATCTTCACTAAATAACATTAAAATGTTGCATCATAATATATTGTTAAGTTATTATATTGTTGTTGCTTTCTCTAATTTTTACATAAATTTTATTTTTTTGGTAATATTGCATGGAATATTGTTCATTCGATACTGAGCTTTTAATTGTCATTTATAAGGGATTCATAAAGCATTAATAGTCCTTAGATCAGGTCACAAAGCTGGATCAAGTTGACTTAATAAAACATTTATTAACATACTAATTAACTATTAATATATGCCTGAATAATAAAGTATTGAAATCAATGTTTATACATATTATTAATGATTAACTTATTTATTCTGAATGATCTTAAAAAACACAACTACTCTTAAATAACTGGTTTGTAAATGACACAATACTTAATTTAGTAATGAAAAATAAATCACTCACAAATCATGAACACAATGATGAAGCACGTTATAAATGTGTCAAGAGTACAGCATTTGCAGCTGCAGTTATAAACTGCTTACTAACCTTTATTAATGTAGAGCTAATGCTTAACAGATTATGAATTCACTATATGCTGATGACAAATGATTCATAGTGTGTAGTTATTATAAAGTGTTACCAAGTTAATATTTAATTTCTGAGGAAAAAAACTTGTTCTGTTTGATTAATAAGCCTTATGAAGAACAGACACATGAGGAAAGCTTTCCTCCTAAACCTGTCATACATACACGTGCCATTACAGAAGTGTGTGTGTGTGTGTGTGTGTGTGTGTGTGTGTGTGTGCTTATATGAAGAGTTCAGATGCAGGAAAGAGTATTTACAGTAAGAGTTAACTGTAGTACGAGTGTTAAATGTCAGTGCTGCCTGACATTTTCATGTAAACGTATCTTCTCTCTCAGCCTCCAGTGTTTATGTTCAGATATTTCACTGTAATGCAATAGAAATATCAATTCAATGGAAATTATTCACTAGAACTATGAAATTACTGAACATCATAGCGCTTGACTTTTTCCACATTGGTTTATGTTACAGCATTATTACAAAATGGATTAAATTCCTTGATTTCCTCAACATTCTACACACAATCCTCCATAATGACAATGTTAACAAAGACATTTTGAAATAGTTGCAAATTTATTAAAGATAAACACCTGATAAATCACCTGTGCATCAGTATTGACAGTGTTTGGCGTGAAGCTCTAAACTGAGCTCAGGTTCATTCTGTCTCCACTGGTCATTCTGGAGATGTCTCAGCAGCTTCATTGGGGTTCAGCTGTGCTCAATTCAGCTGATGGACAGGATCTGTAAAGGCTACACCTGTCTATATAAGGGCCCAGGGTTGACAGTGCATGACAAAGCACAAACCAAGCATGAAGACAAAGGAACTGTCTGTAGAGCTCAGAGACAGGATTGTCTGGAGGCACAAGGCTGGGGAAGGTGACAGAAACATTTCTGCTGCTCTGAAGCTCCAGTGAGCACAGCGGCCTCCATCATCCGAGCATCAGAAACTAAACTCTCTGCTCTGATGAGACTCAAACTGAACTGTTTGGAGTGAACGCCAGGCGTTACGTTTGGAGAACAGCAGGCGGCGCTCATCAGCAGGCTAACAGCATCCCTACAGTGAAGCATGGTGGTGTTGGCATCATGCTGTGGGGATGTGTTTCAGCAGCAGGAACTGGAAGACTAGTCAGGATAGAGGGAAAGATGAATGCAGCGATGTACAGAGACATCCTGAATGAAGACCTGCACAAGAGTGCTCTCCACCTCAGACTGGGGCGACGCTTCATCTTCCAGCAGGACAATGAGCCAAAGCACACCGCCAACATATCAATGGAGTGGCTTCACAATGACTCGGTGAATGTGCTCAAGTGGCCCAGCCAGAGCCCAGACCTAAATCCTATTGAACATCCCCGGAGAGATCTGAAAATGGCTGCACACCGTCACTTCCCATCCAACCTGATAGAGCCTGAGAGGAGCTGCAAAGAGGAACGGGCAAACAAAAGACTCGAGGCTGTAATCACTGCCAAAGGGGGATCAACATGTGATTTTACAGCTTTTTGTTTATAATAAATGTGCAACAATTTCAAAAACTCTTTCTCCACATGGTCATTATGGGGGATTGTGTGTAGAATGTTGAGGAAATCAATCAATTTAATCAATTGTGGAATAAGGTTGGAACATAAACAATGTGGAAAGTGCAATCAATACTTTCCAGATGCACTGTATATACATATATAAACAAATACACCTGACATACTGATCAGTGGGTATATTCTCTAAACTCAACCCTCACAGCAGACTCTGCACTTTACATCCTCACTCTCCTTCACTCTGCCTGATCTATCAGCTCTTTTCCTCACAGAGACCAAAACGTAGTCCAGATTTACTGATATTGCAATACTCGTGGTGTCCCCACAATGTAAATAACACAAGGTACGCTCACACACACACAGATGCACAATAGTGAGTAATCCCCGACTGATGTACTCAGCACATTGTGTGGAAATGACGATTAACCTTTAATATTTGTGGCGTGTGGGTGTCAGTCTTCATGTGAGATCTGTAGATCAGGCTTCAGACAGTGACACATCTGTGGACACTGAGAAAGATTCCACTGTCAGACGTCATAGCGGATAAAAACAGAAACAGTGACGTGACAGCATGGCTCCTGATGTCACCGCTGAGTGTGTGTGTGCAGTTCTCATTGCTCACTCATCTGTGTGTGTGTGCAGCATCATGGGGACGTGTCTCTGGATACTGATGCTCATGGTGTCGCAGGTCTCACCGTACAGACGTCCAGCTGAGGATTCACCCTGTCGAGTGGTGAGTTACACACTTATATGTTAGATTATTTTTTTAAATCATATTTTGTGTTTATTAGTGGTGGTGAACTGCATTATGGGATGTTGATTTCTGCTCTGTCCACTTCTGATGCTAAATTCAACTCTACAGTTTAACAAAGTGACTTTAACTGACATTTTAGTGGTTTGAAATAATATCAGAAATAATATCTAGAGGAATAAGAGTGTGAAATAGCAGAACATGTGCTGCAGTTTATTACAAGCGTTCTGTAGCGTAATATACAACACCAACACACACACTATACAGCACTGCACACTATACACATGTGCAGAACACACACTTACACACTTTTTAAGGTTAAAAGTTACAGATCAAGATCCCATAATGCAGCTCAGAAGCAGAAATAAATGAGGAAAATAAAAAATAAAAACATGAATTACAAAATATCGAGCATTTACAGTGTATATGAAGTCAAATTCTAAATTATTCCCCAAGTGATGTTCAATGAAGAAGGAAATGTTCACAGTTTGTCTGATAATATTTGTTCTTCTGGAGAAAGTCTGATTTGTTTTATTTCAGCTAGAATAAAAGCAGTTTCACATTTTTAAACACCATTTTAAGGTCAATATTGTTAGCCCCTTTAAGCTATATTTGTTTTGGATTTTCTCCAGAACAAACCACTGTTATACAATGACTTGCCTAATTACCCTAACTTTACCCTAATTACCCTAGTGAAGCCTTTACATGCCACTTTAAGCTGTATAGAAGTGTCTTGAAGAAGATCTAGTCTAATATTATTTACTGTCATCATGACAAAGAGAAAACAAATTGGTTATTAGAGATGAGTTATTAACACTGTTATGATTAGAAATGTGCTGGAGAAATCTCTCCGTTAAAAATAAATAAAAAAGACTTGAAAAAGGGGAGCTAATAATTCTGACTTCAATTGCATATGATTTTTAAAAATGTATTTGTTTATTTTTTGCATCCAAAAAATCAACAATTATTATAAATATCCCTTAAAGTCTTACTTTATAGTACTGCTATATTGTTGGTTGAAACACTGCTAATACACTGAATGTGTAAAAAAAAAATATCACTTCTATTTAATGCCTAAAATCATTAGAACATTGAGTAAAATCAAATAATTTTCTATGAATATATATTATACATTGATACATCACGACTGAACTGGTATGAATTCATACAAATTTTCCACTAAACTGACAAAACGTAAAATACTTACATTTCCTCATGTTGTTAACACTTTATTTCTGATGCTCCATTTGATTATAAGTCGACGGTCTGCTTAATATCTGCTGATTCTGCTCCTTCAACAGACATTTAACTGACTATAAGAAACTTAGAAAGTACGTCAACTAACCCCAACCCCAACCTAACAGTCTACTGATAATCTAATGAGGATTAGTTGGCATGTAGATGCAATGTAACTTCAATTCACAAACCCTTTATCTCAGTTGCCAGAAATCGACACTTATGACTGGTTTTATGATCCGAGTCATTTTAAAAATACACTTTCTATATATTAACATGTTTATCAGGTTTCTATTAAGGAACTATTTAAAAAAATGCCAGAAAACTGTAACCATTGCAGTAAAAAACATACTATGGAAGTCAATGGTTACCAGTTTCCAACATTCTTCAAAACATCTTCTTTCGTGTTCAACAGAATAACTTTTCTGTACATATTTGAAGAATTAACATTTTTGGGTGAACTGACCCTTTAATCACTCGTGTTCCAGTATTCCCTAAATATATTTATAACTAAATGACTAAATATAAATGAAAAAAATGACCAAATCAAATCTTTAGCTGCTTAAACTCTCCCCAGGAATAGACAGATGGATTGTTCATCTAGAGCCATATTAGGGTGAACTATTCTGCAGGGATGTTGGAGTTTAACTGATAAGATGAGCCGGAGTCAGTGAGGTCAGGATGACGGGGCCGGAAATCTCATTGGCTGTCAGTGACACATATGCTAATGAGCGAGTGCACAGGAAGTGTGTGTAGGATGAAACACATCAGCGCTCCATTATGTTTCCATCCTGAAGTCTGGTGGAAATGAAGGGATAGTCCCAGAGATGAGGGAAAATCCTGGAACTCCGGCATCCTTGGGTTATCTGAAGAGCATTAATCATGTGTGGATGATCACAGCGGAGCTGCTTTAATCTGCAGGTTTATCCAGAATGCATGAAAATATGACACGTGAAATTTAAGAAAAGTTACTTTTTAATGTTTATTTAAGCTTTGTGTTGTCAATTTAATGACAAAAAGACAGCAACTGTTGCTTTAACTTACTTTAATATCAAGTTTACACTAAATTGTAAAGTCTAATATTTTTGTCAGTCGGACTGATGTCAGTGTAGATGGCCTGAGAAGTTCATTTGATTAACTAAAAAAGGCGGTTTAGTTAATGTACATGCATATATCATCTGTTCTTCAGGTCAAAAATGAACCTCTAAACTAAAGCAGCTATCAGAATCTGTCCTGAACACTGTCCTGCTGAACAGGCGTCACTGATCTGTGGTCAGTCGGGGTTGTGTAATAATACTGAAGTGCTTTGAGAGTTGACTGATAGCACTGATGTCCACTAATCATACTCTAATCACACTGACGTCTTCTCTTGTGTGTGTTTGAAGCATCAGGACGATGTGGACTGCAGCAGTCTGAGTCTGAGACGGGTCCCGGCGCCGCTGCCCTCTAGTATCCGCCTGCTGGATCTGTCCCAAAACCTCCTGCAGAACCTGACCCTTCAGGATCTGCCGTCCCGCTCCAGCCTCCGCCGTCTGGACCTGCATCACAACCAGATCCAGTTCCTGCAGCCGGGGCTCTTCCGGGACCTGCTGCATCTGGAGGATCTGGACCTGTCGGGGAACGCGCTGGACCTGTACGCCGCTCTGCACACCCCCCTCGGCCCGCTGCCGGCCCTGCGTCGCCTGGACCTCTCCGGTAACGGGCTCTTCACTGATATGAGTGATTATTTCCTGAGCGACGCCCCGGCCCTCACTAACCTCTCCTTAGATGGAAACAGCATCACCAAAATCAGCAGAACCACATTCAACGGCTCGCAGGCGCTCCAGAACATTGACCTACACAACAACGTGATTATAGAGATCGAGGAGGGAGCGTTTGAGTTCCTGACGGAGCTCTCTGAGCTGGATCTGTCCGTCAACTCCATTTCCTGCATCACAGACTTCAACCTGGTTCAGCTCCGAACGCTGAACCTAAGCAGAAACAGCCTGACGAACTTCCAGAGCTTGGACATGGAGGACGAGTTCCAGCTTCAGCATCTGGACCTCAGGGAGAACAAGCTGCTCTACTTCCCTGTCCTGCCCCAGAGGAACAGACTGATGTACCTGGATCTGTCCAGAAACCTGCTGCGCAGCGTCAACTGCTCGGGTCCGCTGGAGGAGCTGGAGAGCCTGCGGGAGAGCGGGTATCTGCTGACGGCTCACGATAAACCGCTGACTCTGTGTGCCAATGAGCGGCAGCAGGAGCTCGGCAGGCTGCTGTACCTGGACCTGAGCTTCAACCAGCTGAAGACGCTCTCGTCCTCCTTCTTCAGCAGCATGGCTGCTCTGGAGAGCCTGAACATCAGCAATAACTGCCTGCAGAGCTTCAGCGTGGACTCTCTGCGCTCCCTGAAGACTCTGGACCTCAGCTTTAATAACCTGCAGAACCTGTCCTTCAGCGGAGGCGCTCTGCCGGCGCTGGAGGTGCTGCTCCTGCAGGGAAACGCTCTCCATCTGTTGGACGCTCATATATTCTCCAGCCTCCCCAGCATCCGCAGCCTCCACCTCCAGCAGAATCTCCTCAGCATCTGTGCCGACCCGCAGATCTCCAGTGGATGCGTGCATCTCTCTGATATCCCATCCCTCACCTACCTGTACCTTTCAGAGAACTCATTATCCTCCATCCCTGATGGAGCATTTAAAGGATCTCCCCTGCTCATCCTGGATTTATCCCTGAACCCCGGCGTCGACATCACCGCTGCGTCTCTGTCAGGTGTGGAGACGTCTCTAACTCATCTCTCTCTGAGAGGAAACCAGCTGCATTCGCTCAGCATTGACTTCAGGGTCTTCCAGAAGCTGAGATCTCTGGATGTGTCGGTGAACCGTCTGTCAGGTGTGTCTCCGTGGAGCGAGGACTCATCAGTGGAGATCCTGAATCTGCAGAATAACCGTGTGGAGGCGCTGGGCTCCGCGCTGCTGCAGGGGCGGCTCAGGACGCTGTATGTGGGCTGGAACCCGCTGAGCTGCTGCAGGAACCCGCAGCTCCTGGATCTGCTGCAGCAGGAGCGTCTGCACGTGCCGGACCTCGCCGCCGCCACCTGCTGGTACAGTGGAGACGTGGAGCAGGTGGAGGTCAGTGTGAGCGCGGCGCTGCCCGAGCTCTGCTCGTCTGCGGACTCCAGAGTGCTGTGGGTCAGCCTGATGGTGGCGCTGGCGCTGGGGCTGGCGCTGGTGCTGACCGTCAGCCTGAAGCTCTGCCACAGCAGAAAACACAGGTTCAAGAGAGGCTTCAAAGCTTGAGCTGAAAGAAGGAAATAAACTCGCTCTCACCTGACTGTGGCTTTCAGTGTGTGACGCTCAGAGCGGATCTGGAAACACACGTCACACCGCTAACACACACACACACACACACACACACACACACCAGTGCTGGGGGAAAGGTGTATATCACAATATTACGTCACTTACTTTAACGATGGGTCACAGTGGCAGAGTGGGTAACACGATCACCTCACAGCAAGAAGGTCGCTGGTTCGAGTCTTGACTAGGCCAGTTGGCATTTCTGTGTGGAGTTTGCATGTTCTTCCCGTGTTGGTGTGGGTTTCCTCCGGGTGCTCCGGTTTCCCCCACAGTCCAAACACATGCGCTATAGGGGAACTGATCAACTACACTGGCACTAGTGTATGAGTGTGTGTGTGAATGAGTGTGTATGGGTGTTTCCCAGTGTCGGGTTGCAGCTGGAAGGGCATCCGCTGTGTAAAACATATGCTGAAATAGTTGGTGGTTCATTCCGCTGTGGTGACCACTGATTAATAAAGAGACTGATTAATCAAGTGTTTCCAAACCTCTAGGAGTTTCTGTTACCTGTTGAACACTTCAGCACATACTTAGAAGAAAACCTGTAACCATTGACTTCAATAGTAGGAAAAACAGATACAATGGAAGTGAATAGTTACCGGTTTCCAACATTCTACAAAATCTCTTCTTTAGTGTTTAAGAGAAGAAAGAAACTCATGATGGTCTGGAAACACGTCAAGGTTGAGTAAATGATGACAGAATGTTCAGTTTTGGGTGCACTGTGCCTTTAAGATTGTAATGACTTTTGTACCCCACACTGACGAACACACACACACACACACACACACACACACACACACACACACACACACACACACACACTCCACGACACACTACGCTTTCTAAAGCACTTTACTGAAGAGACGCACCTGAGAATGAATGTACCTAACACGAGACTCACTGGACAGATGGACGGAGGCGTGATCGTAGCGTGTGTGTGTGTGTGTGTGTGTGTGTGTTGGCTGAAGGAATTTTGTGGGGCACAGGAAGTGTTTTTACTGGAGCACCTGCAGCTCAGAGACTCTTTCCTGTTGTTGAGCTCAGTTTCCTGAAGGCTGCGAGCCGTTCATCTGCTGCCGAGGACTTACTCACACACACTCTTTCACTCACACACAACTGTGCAAGACTGCTGGTCTGAGTTAGATCTAGCGCACACACACACAAACACACACACACACACACACACACACACACACACACTAAAATATACACACAAACATGCAGTCAAAAACATACAGAAATAACACACATACACACACACACACACACACACACTTTAAAACACATACATACATGCACATTAAATCACGCAAAAAAAAACAGGGATACACAATCACAAACTAGTAACAAACAATCACACAATTTCACAAACATGCATAAAAACACACACACAAAACACACACTAACAGCACACACACCCTCACACAGACATGCATACACTCACATACATACACTAAAATACAGACACAAGAAAACACACACCAATACACACACGCAAACACAGACACACACACACAAATTTGCTCAAACTAAAACATCCACACACTCACACAAACACACACACACACACACACACTCAAAAACACACATAAACAAACACACACATGCACACACACACACTTAAAAACACACTAAAACACACATAAACACACACACACACACACACTTAAAAACACACACACACACACACACACACACACACACACACACACACACACACACACACACGTGTCACGCATCAGCCGGCACTATACTACATGAAGGAACTGTTTCCACAATATTTGTATGATGAACACAGTGTAAATCTATTTATAAGATGTATTTTCCTAAATAAAAGCTTTGTGTTACGACTCAGTGTTCTCTATTTCTCTCAATATCAGATACTGATTACTGATAGTAATAGCAGGTCTGGCATGCTGTGCCAGAAGAGAACCATGAGCTCGGAGATAACTGATAATTGAGATCTGGTAATTCTTGAGAGGGGCAACATGGTGGCGCAGTGGGAAGCACAATCGTCTCACAGTAAGAGCGTCGCTGGTTCGAGCTTCGGCCGGGTCAGTTGGTGTTTCTGTGTGGAGTTTGCATGTTTTTTCCTCTGTGTTTGTGTGACTTTCCTCGGGCGGCTCTGGCTCCCCTGCAACTCCAAAAACGTTAAACTGTCCATAGAGTGAATGAGTGTGTATGGGTGTTTCCCAGTGATGGGTTGCAGCTGGAAGGGCATCCGCTGTGTAAAACCAGATTAATAAAGGGACTAAGCTGAAAAGCAAATGAATGAATGAATTGATCTGGAGAGCTCCCCCTGGTAAAGGAGGAAAGGTGGAGATGGGGTGGACGGAGGGTTCTTCTAAAAACAAAGGCAGTCATGCGTGTCGGGATATTCATAGTGAGTTTGGACTGATCTGATTGGCTTACTAATAATTACAGAAGAGAGACCAGCTGTGATCAGTCATATCACGTGCTCCTCTTGATATTAGTCTGTGAAACTTCACTTAAAAACACTGCAGCTCCAATAACAGGATTCTGAGAAAAACCTTCCTTCACATACAATATAGTCCCCTATTCATCAGGGTCGCCACAGCGGGATGAACCACCAACTTATCCAGCATATGTTTTACACAGCGGATGCCCTTCCAGCTGCAACCCAGAATTGGGAAACACCTAGTACTGGGATCGAGGTCTGGCTGGGTCAGTTGGTGTTTCTGTGTGGAGTTTGCATGTTCTCCCCGTGTTGGCGTGGGTTTCCTCCGGGTGCTCCGGTTACAGTCCAAACACATGCACTATAGGGGAACTGATCAACTACACTGGCCGTATTAGTGTATGAGTGTGTTTGAATGAGTGTATGGGTGTTTCCCAGTACTGGGTTGCAGCCAGAAGGGCATCCACTGTGTAAAAAATATGCTGGAACAGTTGGCGGTTCATTCCGCAGTGGCAACCTCCAATAAATAGAGACTAAGCTGAAGGTAAATGAATGAACATATAGTTTTGCATGTAGAAACACTGTGACCTTCAATGACATTTACTGGTTGTTTTCTGGAAATCAGGAGGAAAATACAGTGATTCATTTTCTCTGAAATAAATATCATAATAAACTGGACATTCTAATGTACACATTTATTATTTACAAATATTTCCCAGATTATGTTTAGCAGAGCGAAGAAAAAGTCACTGTATTTTCCTGTTATATTTTGCCTTCTGGGGAAAGTTTTATTGCTTTTAGTTTGACGGGAATAAAAGCATTTCTACCCAATTTTCAACAGTATTTGCCTCATTATGAATTGAACAACAACTGAACAATAAAGCACTGTTGGACTGTCTCCAGAACAAACCACTGTTATACAATGACTTGCCTAATTACCCTAACTTTACCCTAATTACCCTAGTGAAGCCTTTACATGTCACTGTAAGCTGAACACTAGTGTCTTGAAGAATATCTAGTCTAATATGATGTGCTGTCATCATGACAAAGAGAAAATATTCTTATAGTTATTAGAGATGAGTTATTAACACTATTATGCATTCATTTCATGTGTTAAACAGCACTTGAGAAATATTTAACAGTTTAACAGGATGTGCATGTGCATGAATCATATTTACAGTCAGTTTGAACACACTTACTAAACTACAGCATCCAGAGGCCAAAAGTTTAAAGACTGCATTAATAATTTATGATCTTTTGATTACATGTTAGTGTACAAACAAGACATATCTGATGATCAGACAATCCTAATTTGTGTGAAAGAGTTTGGAATCAGCTCAGAGGATCAGTCGGAAATGCTGAAATTCAGCTGTAATCATGGACAAACTGCACACAAAGAAAGCGTAAACAAGGCCATCGGCTCCAACAGGAAGTATCGCAAGAGGAAACACAGATCACACACATGGAGCCGGCGAGTTGAGGGTGGTGGCTAGAAGGGATACAGCTGTGGCAGGACGTTAATGAAATGTGATGGTATTTTATTAATGTCCACCCCTATCCTAAACCCCTCACTGTAATGCAAAACAACAGAACTATAACCAGTGTTATTCATATTATTTATGAAGTTGCACATTCAATTGTATTTTATTAACGTCCACCTCTACCCCCAACCCGTAAAGTAATGTAAAAACAATAATTATATAGAGGATTATTCATTTTATTTATTAAATTACCCATTACATTGTATTTTATTAACATCAAACCCTAAACCCAACCCTCACAGTACTGTAAAAATGTTAATTATACAGAGGATTATTCATATTATTTATTAAATTATCCATTACTTGTATTTTATTAGCGTTTACTCCTACCCTAAAGCAGCCCTATAAAACTAATAATTATGAATATCATTTATTTTAATTTATTAAATTAAATATTAATTGTATTTTGTTAACATCTACCCTCACAGTAATGTACAATTATTAATATTAAATGATGCTATATTGATGTGCATGTCTGCAGCTGTATCCCTTCTAGATAGGGATAGATTTTTTCCCCACATTTCTCTGCTCAGTTTCCCACAATCCTCGACTGCATTATACGTCTCTTTAACTCTGGAGGAGTTTTTCCTCTACTCTGTGTTTCTGCTTTCTCTTTATGTGTGTGATGAGTAACACCGCTGGACGGTGCGCTTCCCCATACAGAGATCTGATATACGCCCATATATGAACAGAAATATAGTCAAACCAGATATGATTCACACCCTGGTCAATTCTGAGAACATGCAAACTCCACTCAGAAATGCCAACTGACCCAGCCGGGACGTGAACCAGTGACATTCTTGCTGTTAGGTGACAGTGCTAACCACTGAGCCACCGTGTCACCATTTTCCCAGAAGATGATAAGATATTATAATACGATCATTAGAGGATGCACAGGAGGCATCACTGTGGAAAAACACAATAATGTAGCCTTCATTTGGCATCAAAAAAGCAGAAGCCCTAAGAATACCATCACTGTCAGACATGGTGGTGGGAACCTCATGTTTTGGGGGTGTTTTAGACCAGGAAAGCTCATCACAGTAAACAACATTATGAGAAAAGAGAAACAAATCAAAGCTTCAGGTAGTCTGTAGAGAAACCTGGCCTTGAGCACCAGTGGACATTTCAGCATGACAACAACCCAAAACTCACAGCACAAGTGTTGAAGAAGTGGCCATCAGTCAAAAACATTAACATTTTGCAGTGGCCCAGCCAGAGTCCTGACATAAACCCAATTGAGAAACAGTGAAGGAGCTAAAGTTTATCGCTAAAGATGAA